TCTTGTTTTGAAAGACATCTATTATCTCTTCTATTTTTTTTCTTCACTATTCCTGAGTTATTTCAACAATTTCCATGATCACAACTGTAATGCACAAGCTACTAATTTTCATACATCTATCTGTCTTCATCACACCCTTCCTTCTGTATTCTCTGTATATTTCCAATATGTATTTGACCTTTCCTCTTGGATATACTGCAGTGACCCCAAACAAAATGTTCCAAACTAAACTTCTTAGCTCTCTCCCACTCAAAACATTCTTCCTTGTATTGCTTTCCTCTTTATAAGTAGGGGCAACACCCATTCAGTCTCTCAAGCTGGAAAGCTTAGTGAAATGAGTTCCTTCTCCACCCACTCTATGTCTAAGTCACCACAAATTCCGTAAGATTACTGCAGACATCTCTTGAATCCAGTCTTTTTTCCAACACTGTTTTCATGACTTTCATTATTTCTTTCCTGGAAAGAGCTTCTGATCTGATCTTCCTAATACCAGTCTTTTCCTACATAGGTTCATTTTTCATTTGAGTTACGTTCCTCAGATATAAATCTATAATGAAACTATCAATGACAGCAAATCTCAATATTCATTATTCTGCTAAAACCATGTCAGGCTTCCAAGTGATCACAAGATACACTTCAATCTTCACTGATGTCCTGTCCAGTTGCATCTCCCACACTCTCTCCTCTGTAACTTATTCTTTAACTTTAATGAACTCTTCATTACACCTCACATACATCACAATCTCTATGACTAAGCTATTGTACATGCTTTTATTATCACTTAGAAATCCTTTTCTTTTCAAAGTCCTCTTTATCCTTAAGATCAAACTACAAACCACCTCTATGAAGACTTCCTTGAATTCTCCATCTGTTCTCCAACTGAACTTTGCTAATGCTTCTTTGTACAATTTATGGTGCTATATTGACTCTTCAATTACACCATGACTTCCTTGAGTGCTGGCACTGCGTCTTATTTACTGTTTGATCTAGCACATGAACAGTGTTGGACACTTAGTAAGTGTTGTACAACATGATGAAGGGCAGCATATGACAGGTTGAGGGGATTAGAATTTATTAGGGCCAAGGGGGAGCCAGAGGGCCTTTTTAAACAGGCAAGTGAGCAATCTGGAGGCAGGAAGGGGCTTGCTGTTGCTATTTATACAGATCTATAGCTTCGTAAATGTTTTGATTATTTTATTATTGACCATCATTATCTCTCTTTCACATAATAGAGAAATTGACCACTACCCTCTGTAGTTTTCATTAAAGTATTATAAATTTTTGACTTAATGGAAATAGACAGCTTTATTGGAAAAGCTGTATGAATTTAATATAACTCCATGGCTAGTAATTTTCTGACATGGCTCAATCTCTTAAAAATCCAAGCATAAGGCAGAGAGCTGGTTTCCCCTGCCTCTGGTGGCCCTGAAACATCAGCATTCATGGAGATAAACTCCCCAAATTCTTTTTCTTTTTCTTTTTTTTTTTTTTGAGGAAGATTAGCCCTGAGCTAACTGCTGCCACTTCTCCTCTTTTTACTGAGGAAGCCTGGCCCTGAGCTAACATCCGTGCCCATCTTCCTCTACTTTATATGTGGGATGCCTCCCACAGCATGGTTTTTGCCAAGTGGTGCCATGTCCACACCCGGGATCCGACCTGGCAAACCCCGGGCCACCAAGAAGCAGAACATGCGAACTTAACTGCTGCGCCACCGGGCCGACCCCCTCCCAAAATTCTTGTTTGATATTTCTTCTGACTTTCAATTTTCTCTCTTGTTAACCAGTATGTTTTTTGTCAGTTCCTTCTCCTCCAGACTGACTGAATGACTTTCAATCATATCCTTCTCCCTACTGTGGTGTCTCCACAGATTGAGGGCTGCATAACCACCCCCTTGTTTTGCAGGGCTGCACAAACTGCCTCAACCATATATTGCTCTTATAGATAGCCCAGGGGCAGGAGTACATGCAAATAGTCATTAAAAACATGAGACTTGGAGCTAGGAACAGGGCAAAAATTGACAAATGAAGCACCAGATGATAAGGTATATATTAATATGAGATGTCTAAAATATAGCCTCTTACATAATATGTGAGATTAAATTCTGTTTTTCCACTACCATGTGCTCTAATTCTAACAAAATATCACATCTTCAATACTTGTACTCATTTTTAATAAAAAAGTTGTAGTCCATCTCAGAAGCATACTAGCTAGTGAAACCTGGAAGTAACTTTTCTACTCTATGATCAAGCACTGAAGTGTTTGGAAGGAAATGGAACTCTTCAACTTTGGTGGCATTCTCAGATGGAAGTTTCACAAATCCAAAACAATGAGCTTCTCAGTCCACCTACTGGTGCTGCTTGTGTCTCAGTCCTCAGCAGGAACCAGGCCTGGGCCCCAGTGAGCAGGCAGGAGACTGCCCTGCCTACAGGCTTGCTGCCTAGCCTTTCTTAAAACTGCAGCCCCACTTTGATCTTTATATCTTTTTGTTGAACTGAAATCACCAATTGATGACAAAATGTCTATGTAACACTGGGCATTGTTTCTTTCTGTACCCTATCTTTTTATTTAAATCGAGCATCTTGGTTACTGATACATACATAAACTCAAACTGTGATCTTGCTATATTCCATAAGACTTGTCCTAGTTCAGGCTGTGTCCACAAAATACCATAGCCTGAGTGACTTACACACAAACATTTATGGAAGTTCAGGAGTTCTGGAGGCTGGAGGTCAGATCAGGGTGCCAGCACAGTTGGGTTCTTGGCGAAGGCCTTCTTCCTGGCTTATAGACAGCTGCCTTCTTTCTGTATCCTCATGTGATGGAGAGTGAGAACGTTGGTCTCTTCAGCCTTTTATAAGGGCACCGATCCCATCATGGGGGCTCCATCCTTGTGACCTCTTCTAACTTAAAGGCCCCGTCATATTCAAATACTATCACATTGCGGATTAGGGCTTCAACATATGAATTTGGGGTAGACACAAATATTCAGTCAACAGCAGGACTTGATTAGTGTTCCTTGGCATTCTTCACTTCTCTGTCGTGGAAGGGCTGCCACTTGTGCCTTTTATTGCTATTTTATTTTAATTCTGTCCGTAAGCTCTGTGCTGTAAACATCTTCTCCCTCTCCGTGGGTTGCCTTTTCTCTCAGTTAATGATAGCATTCTCATTTTTCCCTAGTTCTTTGAATAGCTAGCTTCTGCAAATCTTGCGGGTCTCACCTTAGATAGAAAGTCCTCAGAAGGGTCTTCTCTAATCACCTTTTTAGGTTACATCAATGAAACATTTTAAGCAGAAACACAGCATGATCGGATTTACACTTTTAGAATATCATTCATATTATTATGTCGATGATAGATATAGGAGACCTGTTAGCACATTCTTGAAAGAGTCCTGAAGACATCTTTTTTGAACTTGGTTTCAGATTGTGGCAGCAGAGGGGAAAGAAGTAGATGGAGCCTAGATTTATTTAACAATGAAACCTGGGACTTGGCGGCTGAAATGTGAGAGATGGAGAGAGAAGATGATAGCATGTTTGCCTCTTCCATTTCTGGCTTAAGTCTTTGGGTGGATGATGATCCCATTCAGAACCAAATTCTGATCTTGCTCCTCCCTGCTTAGCATTTTTCGATACTTTCCCTAACCTTTCAGGATCAAGTATAAATTTCTTAACTAAGTTCTCAGACATGTTTCAAGATCTGCTTGTTGTTTGCATCTTAATCTCATCTCTGGCCACTCACCCACCAAACTTCTTTCATGTAATTCACTACAAATGACTTGCAGTGCATATGCAATCTGGCCACTTAGAAAACCTGGATTTTCCTCACACTCTGTGAGGAAAGTAATGCTATTTTCCTCGTGCCTTTTGTTTCTGGCTAGAATATCCTTCATTCTCTTCTTTATTTAGCCAACTCTTCTTGAATTTCAAGACTCAGATCAGCTGCTCTCTCCTCTGGGAAGAGGATGATGGCCCTTCCAGGATGGTTTAAGTTTTCGAGGCACACTTTGCACAATCTGCCGTTCCACTCTATAATTGTAGGGTAATTACTTTTTTATTGGTTTGCTTTTCAATGAGGCTTCAACTTCCACGAAGTCAGGGAATAGATTTCATTTGTACTTGTATCATTAGGACTTAACATACAATAGGAGTTCAATATAATATTTAACTGAATAAATGGAGAGATGAATAAGTTGTTCTTATCAGAAGGATGAACAATGATTTCATAAATAATTGCATGGCCTTGAATTAGAGTCCTCACTCTTGAAGCAGGCATAGGATTGAGGCAGGCATACATATTGGTACAGATCGAGTTAACAAGTACCTGTGTCCTGAGTTCGTGAGTAAACAAATGGTAAATGAGAAGGCAGGAGTTCCAGGTAGACAGAAGAGTTTGAGGACGAGCTGAGAAGCACCATGGTACAGAGTCTGTTTGGGTCATTGTGAGGGGCCCACTTTGGCTGAAGCTTAGGGTGATTGAAGGGGAGAGTGGATACCCAAAGGGCCTCAAGTGACAGACTCAGCATTTTGGTTTTGGGTGTTTTAAATGGAGGATATATGTCACTATGAAAACTGCATTTTTAAAAATGAGATTTAATTCTCCTACGTGATGAGATTTGATGATAATAGAATACTAGAGCAATAATAAAAGCAAATGTTTACAGAGACAAGCCGTTTGGTGGGTTCTCGCTTGGCATCCTATGGAAGAAAATACTTAATGCCTTCTTTGTTCCTAAAAGGACACCTTACTTTCTAAGTTAGCTGTGGAATTTAATGTGGCAGAGGAAAGGAAGGAAGAGGAGGAGAGGTGAATAGTGTGTAATCACTGGTCAGAATGAAGTGTTGGGACTCAGCTAGTTTAAAAATTGATCTGCTGTGCTTATATGATCACATGCATTTTAAATTCTGCCCAGAGCATTGGAAAACAGAGTCATTGTACTTACCTTAACAGATTGCATCCAGGAGGTCTCTTGAATAATTCTAATAGTGCTATAGAACAGGAATATTTAATTCACTTGGTGTTTTTATTGTTAAAATATTTCATTATTTGTGCTATATACCCTTGTATTTCAGATTACATGATCTGATGCTTCAGAGTCATCACTGGAAATTTGGATCTAACGGAGCTGGAGGTATCCAGGGAAATGATCTTGGGTAAATCCATCTCACTTTTGCTTTCTTCACAGGGTTTGATTTGGCCCTTCTGTGTCATTGCAAATGACAGGCCTTCTTGCCTCCACTTCTTTCCAAACTCGTGTCATGATCTGCAAGAAATATATATTTTTTCACAAAGAGATTGTTTAAGCTTCTACTTATGAGTGCTTGAACAATAGAATAGAAAGTCCCAATTGGTCCCAAATTCTTCCTGGGTTCCAAGCTGTCTAGCCCATCATAGGTGCCCAGTGATACTCCTTTATCTTTATGTGTCATGCAAAGACTTCCCTCCAGGAGGAAGCAAGAAGGGTGGGGATAGTAATTTATAATTATTTAAGAATTAAGTTCATTTAAAAAACAAAGCAAGACAAAACAGTAGTCAATTATTTTCATTCTCTATTGGAACAGGACATTTTTCTTTTTAAGTGGATTAAAGTATTCTTGACTTCAGCAGCAGAGCCTATTCTGTCCTTCGTAGTCTGTTTGTAGTTCCTAATAGAATATTCTATTCCTAAATAAATAAATTCGTAACAAACTATTTGTGAACCGATATTTCCTTTAACCCTCTCAGATTTTGCAGTTATTAAGATTACTTGTCACCAGATACTGACTATAAAAAATAAATCAAGACTTAAAAGGCTTTACTAATTATAATAGCTTATCATTTAAAGTCTATTCCATCTTCCTACGTGGTCGGCCTAGTCAGGTGTGATCATGTCCATAGGCTTATCTCTAAACAACAGGCAGAGAAGAGACATTAATGCTAAGATACAGTACAACGAAGAAGCTTTTTTTCAGTTCCAGTAGGCAGAGCTTGAAGGGAGAAGATGAAATAACCGTAAGCAATTTCAGGGTGTTTGGATTGGAATTGTTGGACAACCGAGTGGAGAGAAAAAGTTGGAATGGCATACCATTCTCTCTCAACACCTTAGTCAGACCGTAGGGAACTTTTTTTTTTAGCTAGGGGAAGGGTGGGGGTGATTTAAAGGCCCTGATGAATGAGAAGGCATCCTGTCAGGCTAGTCGGAACCAGATCGAGGAAGGGCAGCAAGGTTAGTACTAACTTGGGAGAATTTAGTGGTGATGATGAGGCTGAAAAGGCAGGGAAGCATTTATCCAAACACACCTGGCTATGGGTCTCAAAGAAAAACCAAGAGCCTTTGCAAAAATTGCATGTTACTAAACATTTCTTTGGAACTAACCATGTCTGGAGACTCATTATAGCTGTCTAAGCCCATAAATTATTACGTATGTCACCTACGCTATTCATGAATACAGGAAAAAGGCACGGCAAGCATTTAAAAAAATGCACAGAGATATATCTTTTTAAAAACCAGAGCTTATCTTATTTAAGATAGTTTAGGACTATCTACAAGCTCCTTTAATGAGACTGCTTTCTGAAGGAAACGCGTCCAGGAGATCACTCAGCTTTTCTTCAGTCTTCTCATCCTGCAAGTAAAATTTTAACTATGATGGAGGGAGAGAATCTCTGGCCCAAAAAACTCAAGAAATTTCTTATCCACAGATAGAGGTCAATGGAAACTACAGCTCTTCAATGGCGGCATTAGTCATTGAGATTGGTTTTTAGCTTGTTAGAGAGTCAAATGACACTGGTAGGTGTAATAAGATGTTTCCAAGTATTCCTGTGCTTGGCAATTGCTTCAAGGACATGAAGAGGTGAATCTTAGAGCAATGTGTTCTGATCAAGAAACAGCTGGAAATGGTGGGAACCTGATATGGAACCATCAGGAACTGAAGGTTTATTTTGAATGAGAGGTGTTTTCCAACTGTGAGACTGAGTGACTGCAGCTGAGAATAAGTGCAAACACAATCAACAGAGACTCTAGGTAAGAAGTTATTGAGAACCTGTCTTGTTTTGTGTCTCTTTCTGCTGCCACGTTCCCTCTGCTTCCATAGATTGCAATGATGTCTGTGGAGGAGGGAAAAAGTCCTTCAGTTTATTCTTATTCTTAATGACAGATTCTGAGCTGTCGTGATATGGAATTACAATGATAAAATGTCTCTTTCAGAGAAAAAGAAACAATATATTCCAAAGCCAAGTTGTGTGTTGGACTGGTAAGAATGCCTTGTCATTAAATGGTTTTTCATATACATTGCCTCCACAGTCTGCAGCAGTTTTTACATTCGTTGTTAGCCCTTTTCTTTGATTGCATAGCTAAGGGCAAAGTCGTTTCATTCTTCCTGATGCCTACCAATGTTATTATTTTATTGATATAGACCATAGGAGCTGCTCAATAAGTATTAGCCTTTGAACAATCTATAATTGTAACATTTTATATTTGGGTATCACTTTATGAAGCACTTTAGCACAACTAATTTAATTAAACCTCACTGAAACACAAATATATTGTCCAACATATGTGTTTTTTAAGCCTCATTATTTCAAAGTTGATAAGATAATGAAAAGCAATAGGATATATTGGAGTATATGAGGAAGCCATTTGGTTTAAAACTAATTTAGCCTGACCTTATTTTACAGAGAGGCCTGATATGGCCTGTTAAGCATGCATTGTACATCTGCTTTAAACGTTTACAATGTCCCAAAGCAAAGAATGATGCCCTCAAAGATAGGGATGTTGCCTCCTCCCATATTAACATTTCTTTAAGGGTAAGCATTTCTTCCCAGAAACTAAGGATTGATTACCTACACTGCTCATCTCATGACCACTGACCTGCTGACTACTGACCTGCTATGTTTACCTTGTGACCACTGACCTGCCGTGCCAGCAAAGCATCTTGTAACTGTCGTAAAAGAGATATTCCTGTCATGGGTGACGTATGCTCTTTGTTCCAAGACAGTGTATAACCACTCTATACATCCCGCTTCTTTGGAGGGCTTCCTTCCCCAAGGGTTGTAGTCCTCAAAGCTGGTTCATATAATAAACTCACCCCAGTTTTGATTTATGGATTGATTATGGATTATTTGCATTGATATAGTCATACTTCATGTATCACATACACATATCACAGACACATGAAGACAGACAGACACACACCTACGTAAGCAATATTCTTAAGCTTATGCCTTGTACTTTGTTTAGGATTTCCTTATCTATATAATAAAAAATATATATATAAATATATAAATGTAAATGTATATTATATAATAAATATACAAATATAAAATATAAATAAAAACAAAATATGTAAAAATATAATTTGCATAAAGTATAATTTTTTAAAAATAAAACCTTTCTATTTATATTACAAAAAAGACCATTTGATGATTCAGAAATCTTTCCTTTTTTCTTTTTCTTTCTTGGTTCTTATAACTATATATTGCACTGATAAGGCCAGTTACCACAGGGAATACAAACGTGAATAAGACAAAGTTTTTGACCTCAGTGAGATTAAAATTTATTTGCTTTCTTCACCCAATCCTTCCCAATTAGCACTCTCACTAGACAATTTCAGTTGGAAAGAAAGGCACTTAATTTAGAACTTTGGGAGGCAAGCTGGAGTCTGGGCAGACTTTATACTGGTTGGAACTGTTCTAACTATGCTTGGATGTACAACACTCTTCATCTGGTTGCCGTTATAATGCAAAGGGCAGAGGCAAATTATTCAGAGCACAGTCAGTGGGTCCAGAGTATTGAAACACTCCTCTTAACCACAATGCTGAGATACTTTATTTGTTCATGAAGCACTTGAAAAATGAGAAAGAACAGCAGGCCTTCAAGAGAGAACAGAAAGAGAGTTGGCTCCCAATGCTTTCATTACCAAAAGAGGGTGTTAAAATGCATAGAAATGTTAAGTCTCTACTGAAAAGGAAATCAATGAAAGACACATCCAGTTGAAGCTCACTCAACCCTAGTTTAACAATCATTTTGGGGTCTTACAAGGGAATGGTTCTGGAGTATAAAAAGTATTTCAATTTCACCTGCTGAGTGTTAATGCATTTGAAACATTGGAGCCGAAGCTGTCAAGGGAAGTAGAATGTCTCTACTACCACCTACACTCTCTTGAACAAAAATTATGATGTATTTGTATGGAAGGACATTCTGTGGAACACTAATTTTATTAAAACGTGTGTGTAATCCTGTAGGCTTGAAAAGTGTCAGGTCTGACAATAAGATAGAACAATGCCATTTGTTGATATTCATTCAGCATTTTTCTTCTGAGGACCCCATAGCAATTTATGGATATAACTCAATCTTTTGGTGTTCCTATCTGGAATCTGAGCCAGTGTGCTTTTAATACATCCAGCAACTTGGAAAGTGACCAGTTCTCACTGTAGAAGAAGCTTTTAGGGATTGAATTTCTTGTTGTAAGCCTGGAAAACAAGAGGATAATGGTCCCTAAACCTAAACCTAGGCTACCCATGCGCCTGGGCAGTGTCTCCATGGAGTGTTGCTACATGTACATAGGGACATCATTCAACGTCCCAGTCCCAGCATGGCTGCGCTCCACTTAATGCTCTGCCAAGTAACAAGTTAAAAGGCATAACTTTAACTCAATCCCATCTTTGAAAGGGCCAGTGTTTTTACTCAGACATAGCAGAGGATTTATTTCAAAATGAAAATCTGGTAAAGAGGTGAGATGAGACTTTTTTGCGTTACAACAATATTTCATTAAAAAAACATTTCTCTATTTAAAGCACTTACGATTCACATCAAGATTGTTATTTTAGGGTTGAGATACCATACCAAAAAACCATTGAGTCCTTGTGATATTAGAATTTGTGTAAGATAAAGCATCTTGTTGCCATGGGGATCAGTAAATAGTCTTGATCTGGGACACCAGTTCCCACTGCCAAGACATGAGTGGGAGAGGGTGGTTCCCACAGACGCTGTTTTCCCTAGACTAAAAATGCAGTATGATTTCTATTAAAGGGCAATTAAAAAAATTCTCAGTATTTAGCCTAAAGGAAACATACCCTATCATTTTCAGAACAATTAAGCAGCGAGCTTGTTATTCAAACTTTGAGATTATATTTGTATGTGATATTAATCATGCTCATGCTCTGTCATGTCAAAGGTGATGTTGCAACCGCAGCTTTTTTTAGTGCTGTTTTACACGGTCTTAAAAAAGAAATTGTTTATGGAGATACATACGTTACAGACATAAACTACTTCCTTTTAAGGTTTACAATATAAACTTAGCACATTGACATTAACGCTTTAAAAAAGTAGTTTTGGTTTGTGAAATATTGCTCCAAACGCATGTGATGAATGCAAATTCTATTAATATTGCTTTTACAACCTCTGGTCAAAAAATCCAAAGCATCACATTTTTTTCCTGAAGTTTATTGTTCATTAGTATGTCAACATGAATATAATGAATCCTTATATTTATAGGGTGCTGTAGAGTTTGCAAAGTGTTTTTACCACCAAGCATTTTGCTTGATATACTTCACAATCCTTTGAGATGGGTAGGGCTGGTAATTTGTTACTAGTCTCCTTCTGTATGATGAGATTGAGAATTAAAAAGGTTAAAATAAATGCTTGCCAAAAGCTACATAGATGATAAATGTAAGACTGAGTACCAGATACACAAATGAAACTACTCTCCTGTCTCTACTGTGATTTTATGAAATCAATATACTTCATCTCATGCGATTACTCTTATAAGCTCTATCATGGCATCATCAAGACTTGTGGATTTAATTCTTTGACAATTAATGCTAAAGTATCATCCAAATTATCGTCTGAAAATTTTATTGAACTAAATAACAGTTCAGTAAAATTATCCACTGGCTGGGGCTGTGTCTCATTCACGGTTCTGTAAAGGATATTTATTTCAAGAAAACTTGACACACATTGAAAGGAACTAATCAGTTCATTATAAATTCTACCCAAATCAAGTTTTATTTTTCCACTGAGAAGGTAGGTTTTTTCATCTTCTCTTTTTTTCCCCCAATGACTTCTTGTGGCTTGTCAGCCTGAGTAAGTTAATCATTGCACAACTTAACCTATTTTTTGCATTACTCTGATGGATGTCAAGGTAGCATAGCCAGGTTTAAGAAATTATTATTGTTATTCCTCAAGCTGTCTTTCTTTAAGGTCTGTCTTTATATAGAATATTCTTTGGACTGTTTCCAGTTTTAAATTAGTGTAATTCATCAAGGGATCAATCTTAACTAAAGAACTAAAGTATATGCATGTTGGTTGACTCTGCTTTGGGAGTTCTAAAGTACATGTTTTTCCCTTCTTAAACATCACTCTTTTTCATGCAGGTCCATTCCTCCCTGAACATCATTTATAAAAGCTGTCACTCGACTTGATAAGTAACTCATTTTTCTCAAATGCCCCCTGGGAGAGATCTCTGTTGGTTTCTACAACCCAGGTCCCCAAAGTTAAATGTTTCATGTCTTTATCCAGCTTCCTTATCATCTTACCCTTCATTTCTATGAGCCATCTCTATGACCTTCCACAATTTTTATTTCCTCCTTAAATTATAGAGTTGGCTTCTTATTTTTGCAACCAGAGAATCCTGCTTGCTACAGAAGAGTAAAAAGAAAGTGTTGGAATTAGTGCTGTTTCCCCATTTGAGCGATATTGTAAAATGACCAAATATTTTTGTCTCTAAGCATTATTACAGCAATATTATATTTTCCTCAAATTACTAATATTTATTTACCCAGATAATATATATTTTACTGGAATCTCACAATGTTTTTCACAGGCTGTGTTTACCCCTTTTTGGGGAAGGGAACCCAAGTGAAATATATCTGTTTACAAAAGCCGCCTACAGTCTATATTTGGAGCAGTGGTTCCCAAACCATACCAGACTCAGCTGGGTTTGAGACTCATGCATTTAGACAGTGCACCACTTACTAGGCTCATTTAGGAGACAGAAACTGAAGTACTGGTTGCCTAGGGAATTT